ACCAAGATTAACTCAAAATGGATCAAGGATCTTAATATCAGACCACAAACTCTAAAGTTGATACAGGAAAGAATAGGAAATACTCTGGAGTTAGTAGGTATAGGTAAGAACTTTCTCAATGAAACCCCAGCAGCACAGCAACTAAGAGATAGCATAGATAAATGGGACCTCATAAAACTAAAAAGCTTCTGTTCATCAAAAGAAATGGTCTCTAAACTGAAGAGAACACCCACAGAGTGGGAGAAAATATTTGCCAGCTACACATCAAAGGACTGATAATCATAATATATAGGGAACTTAAAAAACTAAATTCTCCCAAAACTAATGAACCAATAAAGAAATGGGCAAGTGAACTAAACAGAACTTTCTCAAAAGAAGAAATTCTAATGGCCAAAAAACACATGAAGAAATGCTCACCATCTCTAGCAATAAAGGAAATGCAAATTAAAACCACGCTAAGATTCCACCTCACCCCTGTTAGAATAGCCATCATCAGCAACACCACCAACAACAGGTGTTGGCGAGGATGCGGGAAAAAGGAACCCTCTTACACTGCTGGTGGGAATGCAAACTAGTACAACTACTCTGGAAAAAAATCTGGAGGCTACTTAAAAAGCTAAACATTGATCTACCATTTGATCCAGCAATCCCATTCCTGGGGATATACCGAAAAGAATGTGACTCAGGTTACTCCAGAGACACCTGCACACCCATGTTTATTGCGGCACTATTCACAATAGCCAAGTTATGGAAACAGCCAAGATGCCCCACCACTGACGAATGGATTAAGAAAATGTGGTATCTATACACAATGGAATTTTATGCAGCCATGAAGAAGAACGAAATGTTATCATTCGCTGGTAAATGGATGGAATTGGAGAACATCATTCTGAGTGAGGTTAGCCTGGCCCAAAAGACCAAAAATCGTATGTTCTCCCTCATATGTGGACATTAGATCAAGGGCAAACACAACAAGGGGATCGGATTTGAGCACATGATAAAAGCTTTAGCACACAAGGGAGGGGTGAGAATAGATAAGACACCTAAAAAATTAGCTAGCATTTGTTGCCCTTAACGCAGAGAAACTAAAGCAGATACCTTAAAAGCAACTGAGGCCAATAGGAGAAGGGGACCAGGAACTAGAGAAAAGGTGAGATCAAAAAGAATTAACCTAGAAGGTAACACCCACGCACAGGAAATTAATGTGAGTCAACTCCCTGTATAGCTATCCTTATCTCAACCAGCAAAAACCCTTGTTCCTTCCTATTATTGCTTATACTCTCTCTTCAACAAAATTAGAGATAAGGGCAAAATAGTTTCTGCCGGGTATTGAGGGGGGTGGAGGGGAGAGGGAGGGAGCGGAGTGGGTGGAAAGGGAGGGGGTGGGAGCAGGGAGGAGAAATGACCCAAGCCTTGTATGCACATATGACTAATAAAATAATTTAAAAAAAAGTCAGGGTTTGGAAGAAATATGAAAATGTCTTCAAGCAGAAATCCTTAATATGGATGTAGAGTTAACCTAACAGTTCTATCATGTCCAAATTCCTAGCTAAAAATTTAACCATCTGTACAAGCTTTCCCAAAAGATGAACTGAACAAGAACTACAAACATGTAACTAATCATTTTAGAACTTAATGAAAACATTTACCTATGCATCCAAAAAGCTATATACGATATGGTATTTGACAGTGCCCCCCTTGGCTGGGTAAGAGGGCCCACAGCCCTGGGCACCACTCCTGCCTTGCCACATCTCCCTGAAGTCTTTCTAGAACCAAGTAGATCAACCTATCTAGAAGAAGTGTCCCTCCAACTGGTTTTAGGCAATGCTCTTGGCCACCAGAATTCCCTCATCAATTACCAAATAGCTTCCAGGACATGAAGAGGCTCTTTCCAGATCCAGTGTGAGCCAGAGGATGTTCAAAGGTGGCAAAAAATGTGAACGCAGTGCCCTTCACTAGGTAGAACCACACAAGGGGTGGGCCAGGGCAGAGTCTCCCAACTGCATTCCAGCTCAGAGCTCTGGGAAATCGAGAACTCAAAATTCAAACTCAGCTTTCCAGATCATCACGAAGATGCCATTGTCAAGGTAGGTGGATGGAACAAATTTATACGCATGCCTGTAGCTGGTTTCATTGAGTTTTAAGCATTGAAACACATGCTATGTGTGTTCCCTGCAAAGCTACAGGCAAGCTTAATAGTTACCTGGGAGCCTCAAGTCACACGGCCCGGGTACATATCCCCACTCCCACCCTACTGCCCAGCTGTGTGACCTTGGGAAACCTCTTAGCCTTCCCTGAATCCCTTTTCTCATTTGTAAAACAAGGACAATAAGAATACCTTCATCATAATAAAAGTACACTCATCATAATAAAAGTACCCTCATCTCATAGGTTTGCTGTGAAGACCAAATGAACCAGTGCATACAAAGTGCCTAGAACAGCACCTGGCACATAAGTGCCCCCAAATGTTGTCTGTTACATCATACTCCACACAGAACTGATTGGCCACTGGAAGCTTCTAAGCAAAAGCACAACCAGTTCTGTGCCTTTCTTCTTTCCCATTCCATTCTAACTTTAAATAACTTATATCTCACATTAAGCCAAAATTATTTTCTATTCTGAAAAGGACATGTCATCTAACTGCTGACCTGTCTAGCCCAAGTTCTTCTGAAATTAAATACATATTCTCCCTCTACTCCAGCGCAGCAGATAACTCAGGCCTTCATTCTGTATGGACTTTGAAGTCTCCCATATTGGCTTTCTGTGTCATTGGCATTTGAAAAATATCACCAATTTTAAATGTAAAAAGAACACTTCCTAAGGTTTGTATTCATGAGATGCAGAGCTATTAGCTAAGGGAGGTCCTTCTCAATTCACAAACCAAAGGTTGAAATGCTTGAAGCAATGAACAAGGAGGAGAGAAACTAAAGCCAAAACAGAGTCCTTCACTGGGCTCTTCCTCATCCACCCGCTCCTTTATTATTAAGCAGACATATACCATCAGTACACTAGTCACAAACTGCCAGCTATCTTCTCCACAATTTCTCTTTCTTCAGCCTACAGTGACTGGACCAACAAACTGAAAAGAAATACTTGCACATTGTATTGTGTAGAGAGCATTTTGAGTTATTTCACCACACCAGCCTCTCTTTCAAACAGCAAGCTTTTTGCTATGGGTGGAAAGTCTAAAACCCCAGAAGAAAAAGTGTAAGGAAAAGATTCAAAGTCTTATTTACCCTTTAAAATGTATACCTAGCCTACATGTTCAATAGTGAACATTCAAAGTTCCATTTCCCCCCCCCAATTACTCTGAACAATTTTTAAAATGTATAATTGGTCAGCCTGCAAAACAAATAGAACTCTTACTACTTTCCCAAGCTACATCGAATGAAGCATTGTTTGTTCCAACAATAATTTTTCTATTAACTAAAATTTTCTCCAAACCTAAAATGGAATTATAAAGGCCAGTAGGAAATAAATGAAAATTAATTGGATTCTACGAAGCAAGACTGAACACATCCATTCACCCAACAGGAATTCCATCTAAATGAAATACAATGTTTTTTAAAGAGTTTCACCAACTTCATATTTAAAAAAAAAAAAATCTCAGGAGCACTTCCTATTTTTTGCCAGTTTTTATTCATGCAATTAAATTGATTTTTGTAAGAGCTGGAGTGGAGAAACTATATTTTTTACAAGCTCATTAGTTATACAGTCAAGTTTCATTATATCATAATCAGTCATCGTAGTCAGCAGTGAGAATGCTGTTTCCTTGCACAATAAGAATGTTAAAGAAAAAAATGCGTTCACAATAGGCCATAAAATGTGTGACCTACAGAATCCCCAAATCAATGGGAAAGCCAGTGAGTTCATCCGGCTTTCATTTCTGCTGACAGTTTCACTGACACGAGTCTGGCTTTAACTTACAAGAATCTATAGCCTTAATAATTAATCTTCATCTTCCCACACTTTCCAAACTCCCCTCCCTTAGGAGAGCCCAATACTTCATTCAGAATCACTATTGTGAAAGACTCTCCTGGGAGTTCTTTGGCGTCCATCGTTTTCTTACGATATGTATGTTACAGCTTATTTTAAATATTTCTCCCTATATCAGATGTATCCATGTCAATCATACGAGTAAAACCTTACTCCACACAGCGTGGTCAGGGGAGCTGGGCGCTGGCAGATCCCACGACATCCAGTATATCTACCCGCCAAGGCACCCTTCCTTGCTGGCCCAAGGGTGTCATTCTGCGCCCCATCCATGGGATTTCATTGATCTTGGAGAGCCAGAAAGAAAGCTGCATCAACAAAGCCCAACGTGTGCGGCTTTGGGAATACAAGGACGAATTATAGAGACATGAATTATAAGGGAGAGGGCGGGAATGGCTAGAAAAGGGAAAGCGATCACCTTATGGTTTTGATGTAGAATTTCAGGAACCATGAGGTTCAGAGATTCCCAGAACCTCTCCTCTGCTAAGCAGCTTCAGGTCCCTTCCCTGCTCCCCTTCACAATAAATAAATAAATAAATAAATAAATAAACAAATAAAACATTTTTTAAAATCGGGGCTGCCGGATCCTGGCCGTGAGTGCTGCTCCGTCTGCTCTCATTTCCCCACCGCTGCTTGGGCACAGCTGGGGCGACTCCCTCCAAGTCCCACTGGGTGTAGCTACAACTGGAGCAGAGAAGCCCCTGGAGCTCAGAGGAAAGCAATGCGCTTCGCAGGACCCAACCCTCCTTCCACCCCCTGCCATCAAGAGACCCGCAGCTCTCGAGTCACCCGGCAGCTGCACCCAGGCAGCGGCATCAGGACCCTGCGCCTGGGCGCCCGAGGGCACCCCTGGGAGACAGATCGCGCCGCGTCTCGCTCCTGGCGCTCGGTCCCCGGGAGCCAGGGCAGTGAGCACCGGGGACCCGGAGCCACGGAGAGAGAATTCCCTTGAGGGCACAGAGGGACTGGGGGGGGGTCCTGACCCTCCCGGCCATGCGCCCAGGTACCTCGCAGCCGTACAACTGCCCCAGCTGCTCTACGATCCACTCCTCCAGCATCAGCCGCTTGCGAAGCTCCTTGCGATCATACTTCACTGTCACCTTTCCTTGCTGGTGACGCCGCTGCTGTTGTTGCTGCTGCTGCTGAACCTGCCCGGCTGTGGCCGCCGTGGCCACCGGCGCCGAGTCCTCCCGGGAGGAGCCCGGGCTGCCGCCGGCGCCGCCACGGGAGCTCTGGAAGAAAACCCGCGTGCCGCCGCCTCCGGTCCCGCCGGCCGCCTCGTTGCCGCCGGTCACCACCGACATGTCCCCACGCGCCGGAGCCCAAGTGCAGCCGGGAGGAGGGGCGGGCGGAGCGCCCGGCGCCGCTACCACCGCGGGCGCCGCTACCACCGCGGGCCCCGCAGCCGCATGCGAGGGGCTCGGGCACCTGCTCCGCGCGCCGCGCGCGCCCGGCCGCCGGCTCCTCTGGGAGCGCGGAGGGAGGAGGGAAGGCGGGGAGGGAAGGCGGGGAGGGAAGGCGGGGACCGCAGCCTTAAAGACGCCGCCCAGGACCCTCTCTGTCCCGCCGGAGAAAGCCGGATCTGGCGCCAGCGGGAGAGAGCGCCCCGGGCGTGGGAGTCGCCCGGGGAGGCGGAGAATTTGTGCGCTTAGACACCAGCGATCGGCTGGGTGTAGACAGCGTAGGGGACTGGCGTGGGTCTGGGTGATAGAGGACAGTGCTCTGCGCGAGTGTCATAGTATTTGGCCTTGGAGACGGGGAATTGCGCTTGTCCAGCAATCCCGGAGCGCACGAAATCTCCCGCGGTCTCCGTCCTGCGCTGTCCCAGCAGGGGACCACTGCGACAGGGTTGTGGAAAGGGACCGCGCCGAAGGTTCCTCTCAGAGGTTCCTCTCCCCTATGTCTCCTGCGATCGCTGGGAGTGTCCCCCCTCCCGGCCCCACCCCGCGGCTCCAAACACATTCCTATTCACGCCATGGCCCGACCAAACGATGCCACTTCCTCTCTAGGATTGTGAGGAACATTGATGAGGCGACGTTTGTGCAATCAGGCAGTCGCCGCGCCTGAGGAATTATTTCCAGACCGGTTTTTCTTTTCTTACCAAGAGTCTGTTTAATCTTAGCCAGGGCATTAAGGTATCCGTGTGTCTACAGGGCCAAAGCTTCATCGGCGCTGGGGCTGTAGGGCTAGGCACATCTGGACGGTCAGCGTTTCTTTAAGAGTCAGGTAGGATTTGCTGGGTCTAACAACTCTGGTTTTGCATTCCCTGCTCAGCCAGTTTGCCTTGCAATGCCATTTCTAAACAATCTCTTTTTACCCAGGAAAGGAGCTGCATTGACTCGACTTGAAAAACATCATGCAACAAAGTAGAATTCGAATGAATGAGCTTATTATAACGTTTAGGGCAGAGCCATGGGAGGGAAGTTATGAACAGAAAACTGCATGTGTGTGCGTGTGAAATTACAGAGAGACACTAGCATATTTTTGCTGCACGTAACAACACATTTTTGTCCCCGCTTCTTAAAGAAACCACAAAGCTGTTCAAATACAAGTCTGTAGCTTTTGTGAACAGACTTTCAATAAAAAGCTGTTAAATGCTACCTGCAACTGCTCAGAGAAGCTTCTCAGAGGTAAAATAGACAACCAAGTCAATTTCCTCTGCACCCTTTCTGTGGAGAGGAGTCCCTGTGGGATTCTGACAGAGGGCTGTAAAGACATGGAGAACAAAGGCGTAACAGCTGGCTGGGCTTCTGCCATCATCTAGTCTTTTCTACCCAGGTTTCTGGTCTCCTTTGTTCCTTCAGTTTGGGGTTTTCCCAGAAGAGCCTGAGTAGGAATTTCCCAGTGTTCCATGCCTGCCACCACCATGAGGACAGGTCAGGCCTTGAGGAGGGAAAGCAAGGATGTAAGACAGGTCTGTGTGAAACAGGATAACTGGCATTGGCCTTGGACTCCTATCATAATTAGAAGAAGGTCAAGGCTAAAAGATCAGCTCTCTGCCCCAAAGAAGAGCCTGCCTTTGTTTTAGAAGGTGATTTTTCCTGCAAACCTAGCCATGATCAAGGAAGACAAATGACCATGACTGGTTTCTAGAGACTGATAACCCTTGTCTACTTCACCTGAGCCCTTCTGCCTTGTAGAGTAGGTCATCTTAAACCCTGAACCCATAGCCAAGAGGGTGAGCGCCTACACAAAATGAAGGAGGAAGTGGAAGGGGCATAGCAGTCAACAACAGTGTCCCCACACACACAGAACAAGCTAGTCTCTCTCCAGACATCTGGCACTTTGCTAAGTTGGCCAGCACCAGTGTTAACCAAATGCACTAACCAGGAGAATTTAAATGAAAGCAAAACATCTCAAATTTAGTTAGTAAGGAGAAAGTATAGAAAATCTCTGCCCTGGCCTGGCACTGAGACCCTGCAATACCAATTATTGTGAAAACTGTACCCATGATCCAGCCTCATGGCAAACAGTGGGGAATTCCAACTCCTCTCTGAGGCTTTGGACAATGAAGCCAGTCATTCGAGAATAGCTTCAAAGAAATTATGAAAATTCATAAAGTTCTTTCCGAGGAATTCTTATGTGAATTTTTTTCTCACTGCTAGGATGCCTTTTTCTTTGTGCTTAAAACTAGTTTTTGCTTACTTACAACTTCAAAAATGATGGATTCTATGTGACACCTGCACACCCATGTTTATTGCAGCGCTATTCACAATTGCCAAGTTATGGAAACAGCCAAGATGCCCCACCACTGACGAATGGATCAAGAAAATGTGGTATTTATACACAATGGAATTTTATGCAGCCATGAAGAAGAACAAAATGTTATCATTCACTGGTAAATGGATGGAACTGGAGAACATTACTGACTCTGAATGAGGTTAGCCTGGCCCAAAAGACCAAATATCGTATGTTCTCCCTCATATGTGGACATTAGATCAAGGGCAAACACAACAAGGAGATTGGACTTTGATCACAAGATAAAGTGAGAGCACACAAGGGAGGGGTGAGGATAGGTAAGACACCTAAAAAGCTAGATAGTATTTGTTGCCCTCAATGCAGAGAAACTAAATCAGATACTTTAAAGCAACTGAGGCCAATAGGAGAAGGGGACCAGGAACTAGAGAAAAGGTTTGATCATTAATGTGAGTCAACTCCCTGTATAGCTATCCTTATCTCAACTAGCAAAAACCCTTGGTCCTTCCTATTATTGCTTATACTCTCACTTCAACAAAATTAGACATAAGGGCAAAATAGTTTCTGCCGGGTATCGGGGAGGTGGGGGGGAGAGAGAAGGGGTGAGGGGGTGGGGGAAGGGGGAGAAATGACCCAAACATTGTATGCACATATGAATAAAATAAAAATTTTTTTAAATGACGGATTCTAAAGAACCCAGGTTTTAGGCATCTGAACTTACAGACAAAATAGTTGGTGAATAGTCAGTCTCTTTCCCTGTGCACGTTGACCCTCAGGTGTCCAGTGACTCACTTTGACCTACAAGAAGGTGAGCTGGCATTAAATATTTCTCTTTTGGGTCAACATGTCAGCACATGCCTGTCATCATGAGGATCACATTTGAGGCCAACCTAGGAGAACTTCTCTGAAAAAAGAAAGGGAGGGGGGAGGGAGGGAGGAGAAGGAAGGAAGGAAGGAAGGAAGGAAGGAAGGAAGGAAGGAAGATGCTCAAATGTTTGAATCTCGACAGACAGTAGAAACACTGCTCTTGCAAATTTCCAAAATCAAACACAAAGTATTTGGTAATAAAAGAATTATTCCCAGGCTAGAGACACTTCCTTAGGTGTCTATTTAAATTCAGCAGGGCTATGATGCAGCTCAGTGTAAGAGCACTTGCCTGGTATGTGTGAGGCTCCATCCCATAATAGTAAATTCAACAAAACTAACAATATTTCCTCAAGACATATGTGTATATATTGAAGGATAATCTTTTTTAAATCTTTGATTAATAAAAAAACAAGGAATAGTTTTTAGTGAATTGAGTACTCTAGGAATTTTCTAGAGTGCAAGAGATGAGGGGTTTTTTTTATTTTATTAGCAAATAATTATTGTACAGGGGGATACATTGTGATATTTACATATGTGCTTACAATATATCTTAGTTAGATTTACCTCCTCCAAGGGGATAAGCTTTTATCTCAGGCAACCTCCTTTCTGTAAAACCAGCCTTAAAAAGTACCATTTGTCAATCCCTTTTCTTCCTAAATTTGTGTTTTCGTAACTTGGGCTTTTTTTTCCTTGTTACTTCATTTGGGGGAAGGCTTTTCAATTGTTTTTGTTTTTTGGAAGTATATAGGTCTTTGATCTCTGAATAAGATCTTCATATCCAAAGGCTGTTAGATAAGATGATTTAATCAGGAATTGCAGGACCTTCTCCAGACCCCCAGGGAAAACAATTACATGCATGCAAATGTTTATACTCAGGTGCAAATGTTCTTATTCCTTAAAGATTAGATGTCACAATAATTATGCAATAGCTGGTAATCTATCTTGAGAAGGTTATAATTAAAGCCCATGGCCAAAACCTGAACTGTAACAATCTTATCTTGGATAATAACAATGCCAGTGATAAGATGCCTACATCCAAATTCCCTCAGAGGTTTGATAACAAAAAGACAAATAAAAAGTAGTTTTAAGTCTGGTTTTCATCATAAACATAGAAGAAACTGAATCAGTCCTGTGGGGTTCTGTCAGTTATGCACAGCACTCTTGGTTTTCAGAATATGCACCCTTATTTCTTTGTCCTCTATAGAATAATCAAGTAGGGCAATGTTGTTCACAGTGTATCAGTGTAGTTTTTCTCTTGCCTACTGTTTGTCCCCCTTTTTGGTCCTCTAATTCTAGAGCTTCGACTCTATAATTTGGGGTCATAATTCCAAAATGAATTTAGCAACTTACTTCCATACATAACAGCAGTCATCTTCCCGAAACTTTCTTCTAAAGTTTTACCTCAGCAATTAACAAAAATTCCTGTGATTGCTGAGACATGATGAAAGGTAGGGGGAAACCCATAGCTTTCTTGCATCCCCTTTAACAAAATTCAAATATCCCTGCCCTCTCCAGTAACCCTAACTGTGGGCTATTTTGCCCCTTTCTGTGAAACAAAGTTCAAGTTTGTTTCTAGAGGAGCCAGCTGTCCCTTTTAGCTAAGGGCCTCTTGTCCTCCCTCCTTTCACTACCTAGCATTTTCGAAGAGAAGAGTCAAAGGGTCGTCCCTTCCCCACGTCTCTGTGTGTTCTCCTCTCAGCCCTCCACAGTCCAGCTGCCACTCCCTGGCTGCAGGTGTCCTTGCCAAGGTCACCAGCCAACTCCACACTGCCCAAGTCCATGCTAACATTTCAACACTTATGTAACGTGACCTCCTGCTACACTGGACAATCTTAACCTCTCTCCATGCTCTATAAACTCTCTCCTCTCTTGACTCCCTATTCCAACACCCTCTGAGTCTGTCTGTTGCATTCCAGTGGTTTCTGTCCAGGGATGTTTTCTTACATCCCTGCCTTAAAGGTAGGTAAGTGGTTTTTGATTCTACTCATGACCCTTTCCTTGCTCATTCATGGGCATTTGCTACTTATATCAACCTATACAACAAATAGAAAGGTTCTCCACAGATAATGAGT